CGTGGAAGAGCAGGGCCGGGACTGACATCACTGTGGCTTTGCAGAGTGAGGGGTGGGGCAAACAAGCTTCCAGGGCTCCCAATGACATGATTCATTCCATCCAAGTTACAGTATCTCCAAATCTACATGCCGAACTTCAGGATTTCGTTTCTGGAAAGAAAAATCACCACCTTTATTCAGGCACAACATGTCTTTTGACTTCTTTTCAGCATTAACGGTATCTGTAACACAAGTCACTACTGACATGCTTGGTCTAATTTTCTTTTTTCTTTTTAGCACACAAGCAAGAGTAACAGGTGAGCAGACCAGTAGTTGAATATACTGACAATGTAACTACAGTCAGTCCCACTTCTCTCAGCCTGGTCATCTGCCCATTAAGAACAGACTGGAGCGCTAATATGTGCTCAGCACTACAAAGCTCTGCAAATACACCTTTGTGTGTGTTGGAAACAAAGTCGTGGTGAAATAAGAACCAGAAAGGATAACGAATTGAATACACGTGTGCAGACGCGTATGGGTTGTTTTCATCCTCACACCAAAAACAAACAAGAACGAAACACACCTCATTGCCATTGAGTAGATGATGAGGAGCGCCGTAAAGGGCAGGGCGGAGCTACCAAGACTATAACTCTTCATGGGAGTGGAAAGCCTTGTCTTGCTCCCTCAATCCTCACAACCCAATGATTTCCGTCTTAAAACTTCAGTTTGAAGAAATTAACTAACTTGCCCAAAGTTACACGATTATCAAGTGATGAAATGAGACTCCAGACCCCAGTCTGCTAAGTACTATCCACTGGCATTAAAAAAAGAGAGAGGGGAGAAAGAGAGAGCGAGAGATCTACAATTTTCATGGGATCCAGAAAGACTTCCCGGAGGGTAGACTATCCAAGCTAGGTTTGAATGTGACGAGGTTTCCAGATGGACGATGAGACCAAAGAAACAGAGGCAAACACAGACTCTGAACAATCCGAGAGCCCAGAAGTGCACATGGTACGGTCAGCACAGAGGTTTTAGGCAGGGTTAGTGATAAAAGGTTCCCAAAAGGGAGGTCTTGAGCGCGCAGGATGTGGCACAATGGGTTATGCCTAGGGCTGCCAACCTTACGGTCAGCAGTTAGAACCCACCAGCTGGAGAAAGACGAGGCTGGCTGCTAAGCTTGGAACAGCTGTACAGTCCCTGGCACTATTAGGTATTCAATGAAGACGTGCTGAATGAGTGAGGAGGAAATAAAAAGTCAATGACTTGTCAACAATCCAGAGTGAGAACGCTGGCCGGCTTCACAGCGAACTCGCAAGGGGTCGCTAGGGAAAGAAGTGGAGTATGGCAAGATCTTGTTAAGAAAGTGGTAGTTAGTGACACTGGAATATTTTATTTTATCCCAAACGTGCAGTGTAAAAGGCTTTGTGATGGTTAAAAAAAGAAAGGACACCAATGTAAATTTTTACAATCTTCTGGGAAATTATATTTCTGGATCAAAAATGCACACGACAAACCCTTTAATCAAATGCTTGTTTTATTCTGTTTGCAGCATTACAATTTGCTGTCATTTATCAACTTAAATCCAAGTAAGCTTTAAGACACTGGCCTCCCCCGGTGAGGAGGGCCTCCTGTCCCGCACACGGGGCAGGTGGCCCCCACGTCAGTCTGCCCCGTGCTCACTGAGTTCTGCACCTCTCCAAGTGGGCAAGAGTTGTCTCTGTGAACGGAGAAACAGCTGTAGTGACCACTGACTTAAATTACTGAAATGAATAGGTTGTTTTGGCCTTGATTGATACCTTACAGCTATTAGAAAAAGTTAATTTACTTAAACAATATGTTATAGTCAATGTATTATGGTAAGTAATCATTTTGTAAATGCAAGAAACACATGTTATAGACCTACTATTGCCTATGATATATACATTATCATGACCACAAGTTTCAGTAGAAGAGAATCATTGGTTTCTCCGGGGGTCACTTTTAGCATAAGAAATAGCCCACAGTTCAGATTTACGTTAAGTAGTGCCTTTCTTTAAATAAATTAAAATAAAATGTTGTACTGTCTACAAAATTATAAATAATTCTAGTCCGTTTTACAGAATATTAAAATGCTTATAAATGCATCATCTCCTAGTAGAACACTATGATGGCACTGAGGCCAGCCAAGAAAACAAAAGTCAGCCGCTGCAATGGTCCGGGAACCATCTAGGGTGACTGGATAACTCCTAACATGAGGCAAGTAAAAGCAAGTAGAGAGAAAAGCAAAAACAAACCAAACTCAAATATTACTAAATGGCAACTACTCTGACCTGAAGGAGAATACTGAAATGTCTCCATTCAATTCAGAGGCCAAGCCATTTCTGGAATGAACATGTAGGAGAACTCGGTTTGGAGCAGGTGCTTCATGGCACTGAGTTAAGGAGAGATGATGTCCGCATTCTCGGAGGAGAAGCTGACCTGTAGGGACTGTTCAAAAACCTCCCATCTAGAGCTGGACAGAGGGTCCAGGATTGGTAGGTTTGGATCCAGTAAAATCCTCAGGGACAACCAAAGTCAAAATGCTAACCCTATAATCCCCTGATATGAACGGTATGAGGAAAGGAAACATGATTGCAAGGACAGGATAAACAGCCTGACAGGATAAAATGGGAAATCAGGAACAATTTAAGCAACTAAAATGT